ATGGGGACAGTGGGGACTTTGAGGTGGGAGATGGGGACATTGGGGGCATGGGGGGGCACAGGGGGACTTGGGGACATTGTGGGGGGACATGGGGACACGGGGGGACGTGGGGACATGGTGGGGAGGTGGGGATGTTGGGGACATTTGGGGAGGTGGGGACATTGTGAGGGAAGTGGGGACACGGGGACATGGGGATATTGGGGGGGGAATGGGAATGGGGACATTGGGGACATTGTGGGGAGGAATGGGGACATTGGGGACACTGGGGAGACATTGGGGGAACAGGGAGGCAGAGATGGGGACGTTGGGGACACGGTGGGGAGATGGGGACATTGGGGGGACATTGGGGACATGGGGGAGGCAGAGATGAGGACATTGGGGACATGGCAGGGAGGTGGGGACATTGTAGGGAGGAATGGGTACACTGGGGACTTTGAGGGGGGAGATGGGGACACGGGGGATGTCCCTGGGTGTCACTGAGCCCCCCCTGTCCCCCCCAGGTGTCCCGGCGGTGCTGAAGGTGACGGGTCCCCCTGCGGCCACCGCGGGGCCACCGCTGGTGACCGTGCGCTCGGCTGGGCCCGGCAAGGCCCCGGTGACGGTGACATCGCTGCCCGCCGGCGTCAGGATGGTGGTGCCCACCCAGAGCCCCCAGGGCACGGTGAGAGCGGCACCTGGGGACACCTGGGGACACCCGGGACAGGTGGGGGGCACGGGGAGGGGTCCCAGGGGTGTCAGGGACACGGGGAGGGGTCCCAGGGGTGATGGGGGACAGAGGGAGGGACCCTAGAGGATCCTGGGGGGATACTGGGGACATAGGGGTGACACAGGTGAGCCACAGGGGGTACGTGGGTGATACAGGTGTGACACAGGGTGTACCTAGGTGTCACCTCGTTGTCCCAGCTGTGCTCAGGTGTGCCCCAGGTATACCCAGGTGTACCCCAGGTGTGAGCAGGTGCTCACCCAGCTGTGCCCAGCTGTCCCCAGGTGTGCTCAGGTGTCCCCCCAAGTGTCCCCGGGTGTGTCCCCAGCCATCCCCAGATTGCTCAGGTGTCCCCATCAGTCCCCATCAGTCCCCAGTGTCCCCATCAGTCCCCAGTGTCCCCAGCAGTCCCCAGTGTCCCCAGCTCCCCCCAGTGTCCCCAGGTGTCCCCATCAGTCCCCAGTGTCCCCATCAGTCCCCATCAGTCCCCAGTGTCCCCAGTGTCCCCAGCAGTCCCCAGTCTCCCCAGCTGTCCCCAGTGTCCCCATCTGTCCCCAGTGTCCCCAGTCTCCCCAGCTGTCCCTAGTGTCCCCAGTGTCCCCAATGTCCCCAGCAGTCCCCAGCTCTCCCCAGTGTCCCCAGCAGTCCCCATCAGTCCTCAGCTGTCCCCATCAGTCCCCAGTGTCCCCAGCTCTCCCCAGCTGTCCCTACTGTCCCCATCAGTCCCCAGTGTCCTCATCAATCCCCAGTGTCCCCAGCGTCCCCAGTGTCCTCATCAATCCCCAGTGTCCCCAGCAGTCCCCAGTGTCCCCAGTGTCCCCAGTGTCCCCATCAATCCCCAGTGTCCCCAGCTCTCCCCAGCTCTCCCCAGTGTCCCCATCAATCCCCAGTGTCCCCAGCTCTCCCCAGCTCTCCCCAGTGTCCCCATCAATCCCCAGTGTCCCCAGAGTCCCCAGTGTCCCCAGCAGGCCGGTGGCTCAGGCGTGTCCCCGCAGGTGATCGGCAGCAGCCCGCAGATGAGCGGCATGGCGGCGCTGGCGGCGGCGGCCGCGGCCACGCAGAAGATCCCGCCGGCCTCGGCGCCCACCGTGCTCAGCGTCCCCGCGGGGGCCACCATCGTCAAGACGGTGGCCGTGACCCCCGGGGCCACCACCCTGCCCGCCACCGTCAAGGTGGCCTCGTCACCTGTCATGGTAGGGGACTGGGTTTGGTGGTGTCATTGTCACC